CGCAGGGCCCGGCACAACGCGGCCTTGACATGAGCTGGGGCAGGGACTGTCTCTCCCTGTGTGTCTGTGCAGCGCCCGGCACAACGGGGCCCTGAGCTCAGCTGGGGCAGGGACTGTCTCTCCCTGTGTGTCTGTGCATCACCCGGCACAACGGGGCCCTGATCTCAGCTGGGGTCTCTCACCACTACTGTTGTAAGAATGGAATTTGTTTCCCCCCTGCAATTTAAAAGAGACAGATCTGCCAGTGGTGTCAATCAGGATAAATTCTCTTGAAGTCCAGGCACTTGGAGTATTTCTCACAGCTGGGATCTGGCCCCATGGACTGCAGTGGGGCTACGGCTGGTTGACAGCTACTGGGATCTGGCAAGGAGTGTTTAAGGCTAGAAAATGTGTATCTGTGGAGCATGGTCGGTTGACAGCAGCTGAGGATCTATAACCCCTGATCCTTCCCCCGCAGCTGCTGACCCTGCGTCCCCAACTCTCCCTGTTCCAGCTCCCTGCAGGCACAGACGCTGCGTAGTGGCACTGGGCGCCGGGTGCATCTCTCTGACCTTGGCTGTGATCGTGCTGAGCCGTGTGGGTAAGTGCCTGGGAACAGACTCCCTGCGTCCCGGTCTCTGGGCCTAGAGATTACTGACAGAACCAGTGTGTCCCACGTCTTGCTGCCCTGAGTGCTGCCGAAGGAACGCAGGATCGTGCCCTGTGTGATCTGTTCTCCCCCAGTGTCCCCTGTAGGCACTGGTCCCACGCTCCCGTCACGGCCTGGGGAAGTGTCCCATACACAGGATCCAGCCACCAGCTCCAGTGAGATTTTTCACTCTGACAGGGGCATGTTCCACACACTTCACTTCTCAGTCGGTTAATGCAGCACCCAGCAGGATTGTCGTTGGTGCTCTCTGGTTTACATGTTTCCAGGCAAAAAGTATTTTAAGAGAAAAATGGCCTGTTTTCTAAATTGAAAACGTTGGCAAAACTTTTTATCAAAATATTTTTGGAAATTTTTCTTTGATTTTCCTTTTTAATATAATTTCTCAATACCTCCCGTTTTTTAAAATCCCTGTTTCTTTTTGGAAATGACGTGCAAAAAAGGAAAAATGGGGAATAAAATACATGGGGAAAAAGAAAAACAAAAGCACCAAAATAAAAAATGGCAAATTAAAATAAAACCACAAAAGCCCTTTAAAAACACTTTCAAATCAATAGCATGAAAAAAAAACAACCCTCCAAGCAACTGGACCCCTCCACCCTATATAACACAAAACACAAATCAACCCTCTCTCAAAAAAATTAAGTAAAACAAAAACTCTTGACCCTCTCCAAATCTCCCTCAAAATATCCAAAAACAAAGGGGAAAAAAATGAACCAAACGGAAAAAACGAGTAACAACAAATCCCAAAATACAGAAAATCCCAGCGAAAACAAAGGAAGACCTTTGCCCCTCAAAACCCCAAGAAACTACAAGGAAGAAACATTTAATAAAAACTTGAAAATTGGGTCCATTTTGTACCCTGCAAAAATGGAAACAACTTCAAAATTTTTGCCCAGCTCTGTTGCTTTGCTATTCCACATCCAGGCAGCAGGGGAGCCCAAGTTAACTAAGGGCTTGTCTAGCACAGAGGTGCAAATTTCCCTGCTCTTGAGAACAACCCTCTTGCGGGAGATGGGCTGCTACAGCGTGAATGATTCCTGGCTATCGGGGCAGGTCTGCCTGAGCAGTGACGATCCTTCCACTAGAGCTGGTGGGAATTAGTGGCAGGAATGGGAACAGGACGGGGACGTGGGTGCAGAATTTGCCTGCAACAGAAAAGATTGAACATGGAATTTTCTACAGGGACATGACAATTCCTCACCGTGAAACCCCGTTGGCTTGCAACTTGTGCAATGTGTTGGGGAATCCAGATCCCTCCGCATCCCCATCTGCCCTTGAGTCATGGAATCATAGACTATCAGGGTTGGAAGAGACCTCAGGAGGTTGGTCCAACCCCCTGCTCAAAGAGTCCCCTGCATCTGAACTGTGTCGTCCCATGCTGTGTCCCCCTCAGACACTGCCAGATTGGTGACTAACTCCCATTAACGCAGATACTCTTTGGAAGGTTTCCAGGGCTGCTGCCAGGAACATCAGACCACGCCGGCCTCGCGTGGCCCAGAGGATGTTGGTGATGCCCAGAGCTCAGGAAACGGAGCTGAAGGCTGCTGCAGCCTGCAGGATTTCCGCTCTCACCTGAGACAGAGTCTGTGTGAGCTGCCGCAGAGCAGCTCAGCAGGTAACCTCAGCTCCCCCTGCCTCTGAGCTGCTGTGCACGTTTGCGGATGTCGAGAAACAGCCGTGGTTTTGCAGCAGCAGCATCTAGTGACCAGCCCGGGAAGGTCTAAGCTGAACTAGCGTCATCGTGACACAGTATAATAATCTCCTACTCAGGCCCAAAGTACCTGCCAAACTGCCGGTGGGGATCAAGCCACCCAGCACTGAAATGCAGCCAGCTCTGGGGTGGGTAGCAGCATCTGCTCAACAGTGCACAGGTTTAGGCCAGGATGTGAAGGATTCATCACCCAATTGAAGCTTCCCGGGGGGATTTTTGGAGGCAAAATGGAATCACCTGAGGTTGGATTTAGCCAGGAGATCGGGGTTAACATTTCCAGCTCACGGGGAAACTGCTAGGGGATCTCTCCTTACTAGGAGGGGTTAGGACCTTGGTTTTACATCCTGAGAGAGATGAAACATCCAGCAGCACTGCGCCCTCTAGTGCCCTGCTGGGGCATTGGGGTCAGTCCTGACTGCCAGGGGAAAGAGAGCCCCCTACTGAGCCCCCCCGCCACTGTTCCTTGCAGCACAGCACCCCCTAGTGCCATGCTGGGGCATCAGGGCCAGCATTAACTGTAGGGACGAGACCCCCTATGGAGCCCCCTACCCACTCCCAGCAGCACAGTGCCCCCTAGTGGCATACTGGGGTATCAGTGTCATCGAGGCAGAGCACCCTTTTGTATTCCAGTCCTGCCCGCACAAGGCCAACACTAGGGTGACCAGACAGCAAGTGTGAAAAATCGGGACAGGGGGTGGGGGGTAATAGGAGCCTATATAAGAAAAAGACCTCAAAATCGGGACTGTCCCTATAAAATCGGGACATCTGGTCACCCTAGCCAACACACTGCCCTTCATCTCACTGACCGAGTGTGAAGTCTCTGGTATCTCTGTAGTGGGGGTCAGTCCTGTTCAGAACAATCAGCCCCTTAACGATGTCTTTGTTTCGTTTCCCCGTCCAGAGGGCTCCGGGTGCAAACTCTGTCCCAGGCACTGGGTGCCGCACAGGGACAAGTGCTACTGGCTTTCTGAAGAGGACCAATACTGGAGCAGGGGCCGGGATGACTGCTCACGGAGGAGATCTCACCTGCTAGTGATCCAGGACCGGGAGGAGCTGGTAAAGAACGTGCTAAACTTCACCATATTTGTGTCCTTGTTAATGAGAGCAGGTCAAGAAGCCCTCTTTTCTTTTTCTATCAACAAACTTTTGAAAGCAACATTTTCATTCACAATTTTTCTATTTTTCACTGGAAAATTTGAGAGTGAAATGAGATGTCCGTTTTGATTTTCAGAAACCAAACTTCTTTTTAAAACTTCAAACTTTTCTCTCCCCCCTTTTTTTGACCACTGAATCCGATGGGATGAATAATGATATTTTTCCACTTATTCCATATTCTCAGCAGAAAAAAAGGGAACTTTTCAAAATGTCCTCGATTTTGGGATAGTTAGAGAGGCAAAAGGAAATATTTTGTTCTAAATTATCTGTTTCCATTCAAGAGAGAGATCTTGGAGTCACTGTGGGTATTCCTCTGAAAACATCCACTCAATGAGCAGCGGCAGTCAAAAAAGTTAATAGCATGATAAGAACCATTAGGAAAGTGTTAGATAATAAGACAGAAAATATTATAATGCCACTATGTAAATCCATGGTACGCCCACATCTTAAATACTGTGTGCAGTTCTGGTTGCCTCATCTCAAAAAAGATATATTAAAATTGGAAAAGGTTCAGAGATGGTCAATGAAAACGATTAGGGGTATGGAACAGCTTCCATAAAAGAAGAGATTAAAAAGACTGAGATTGTTCAGTTTAGAAAAGAGACAACTAAGGATGGATATGATAGAGGTCTATAAAATCATGCAGAGAAAGCGAATAGAGAAGTGTTATTTACTCCTTCTCCTAACACAAGAACCAGGGGTCACCCAATGAAATGAATAGGCAGCAGGTTTACAACAAACAAAAGGAACTATTTCTTCACACACGCACAGTCAACCTGTGGAACTCTTTGCCAGAGGATGTTGTGAAGGTGAAACGTATAACTGGGTTCAAAAAAGAATTAGGTAAATTCATGGAGGATAGGTCCAGCAATGGCCATTAGTCAAGATGGTCAGGGATGCAACTGCATGCTGTGGGCATCCCTTAACTTCCAAACACCAGAAGCATCGGGCACTGGCCAGTGTTGGAAGACGGGATACTGGGCTAGATGGACCCTTGGTCTGACCCAGTATGACTGTTCTTATGTTCTAAACAAGGAGGAGGAAAATCCCTCTGAAAAAAATAAGTTTTGACTGAAATTTTTCTGCTGACTTTACTGTTAATATTATCTTTATTTTCTGAGAACATTATCATGAACTCTAGCTGGATTAACATTAGGTGTAGTGATATCACAGAGACCGAATACAAAAACCTAGATAATAGACAAAACTCCATAAAAATATAGATTTAGGCTTATATATTTTTAAATAATTTTGACAGACATTATCTGTTTACTCTAAAGCATTTTTAAAAATTATCTATTAAAATGTTCAGTTGTGCAAAATTATGAGTTTTAAGCATTTGTTATCAATGTTTATGTATTTAAATTTTCATAGTTGTGGGAAATCATGGGGTGAGGTCTGACCATAATTATTTATTACCAGTAGAAGCTGAGATTCAAAAAGGTAAAGCTTTATTATGATCAAAATATACACATTAAGAATCCTTAAATCAAACTCCAAGTTCTCAAGCAGCATTTTTCTGACTTTGCCTACCTGTAAATTTCGATTATTGTCAGTGGAAATATTTTTTCACCCGGTTGTGTGTGTGTACGGTGAAGTCGACATTTACCGATAAAAATCTAATCTTTCCAAGCCTAAGTATATTGAAATAAATACATTAATAGTAGATCCCAAAGCATTTTATGATCTTAAAATGATGAAGTGCAAACTAGAGACAGGGATTGTTCAGCTATCACTGGGATGCGGCTACCTCTGGGGTGGGGCAGCTGGGTAACAGCTGTATAGCAACGTTGCCCAGGGTTTGTTCACTCAGTACAGAATCACGCCCTATGTGGAAAGAGGTGCAGCAGCTGGATAACAGCAGAGAGTTTGCCCAGAGCTGAAATGTTACTAATTATTTATTAGAGCTGTGTTAAAAATAAGAAACAGCACCAAAAAAAATGTAAAAAATTTTCATTCAAAAATTCACTGAAGTTCATTGAAAATTTTAAATAAAATTCATCAAAATCTTGGTGGAGGGGAACAGGACCGACTCAGTTATTAATTAGTAGTATAAATTATTTCTTATGTTTACTTTCAATTGGAATTTCATCTGGTTCTGACTTGTCACCAGTATTAATGATCAAAACCCAAACTAGAGATCGGGTCTCATTTACATTGTGAGCAAAGCAGCCAGAGAATTCTACCATGTTCTGTTCTCTCTGACACCGTGTCCATGTCACAGGAGTTCACACAGAATATTACAGGAAATCAAAATCCGGTGTGGATTGGACTCAACATCACATCCCCAGGGAAGAAGTGGACCTGGGTGGATGGATCCCCATTAAATCAAATGCTGTGAGTGTTTCTTGATGAGTATTTGACATGAGTCTGCAATAAATACATAGTGTGAAATACTGGGCCCCATTAAAGTCAATGGCAAATCTGCTGTTGACCTCCATGGGGCAAGGATTTCATCCATTAAATCTTACAATGTAAGGGCCTCAATCCTGCAAACACACATGGGGTTAATTTTAAGTCTCATGGCAGTGAATGGCAGTATGCATGGGAGGAAATCGAAGCAAGTACATAAATGTTTGCGGGATCAGGGTCTCTGTTTGCATGGCCCCACACTCCTGGGCAGAACTGGTTACAAAATGGGGAGAAACACGATTTTTTCAATCTTCTCTTGTTTTTGTCAACATCTGGGATTTCAAAATTCAAAAGCTGATCAATTTCAAAACAGAGAAAGTCCCAAATGCCTCCATAGTTGGTCAAAAAACTAGTTCAAAAAGCCGCTCAAAATTCATCAAAACTTCCCTGTTTTTTCCACTGAAATTTTAAATTGACTCAACTTTTCATGTAAGTTTCAAAAGCGGAACATTTGCATCCATTCTAAAGATTGGCCTCTCGGCGCTAGCCCTCTGATTAATCACTTTGCTGCAAGTTTCGGTACCATGTGCCCTCTCCACCAGCTCTGGACTTAAACATACCAGCTTGTTTCATGTATTAGCCTACCTGGGTGTGGGAAAACAGGCCTGGCCGACTCCATCTGCCCCCACCATGACACCGGCATGGACTTGCCTTACAGGCCGCAAGCCTGAACCAGACTAAGTGTCATGTTCTCTGCCAATATCGGTCAAGGGTTATGACCAGAGGAGGGAGGGGGGAGGCCAAGGAGGGAAACATGGAAAGCCCCAGCAATAACAATGGCCTGTGTGTTTACGGCTGGTGAAATATAATAACCGCGTGTGTGAAGCAATAAGTAACTTTACAGTAACTAATCAGGTCTCTTCAATTGGGCGCTCTATGCCCCCCCCCCATTGTATTAACAATAACACCCCATTGTGAAACATGCACCCTGCCGAGAATACACCCCAAATGGTGCCAAGTTCTGACCGTATGGGGAAACCACCAAGAAGCCCTCCACCCAATCTGCACCCTATTCTCGGAAAATTGCAAGGGGGGTGCCGGGAAAAGCGGAAAGACCCTAACTCTCCTATTCTCGTAAATGACGTATAATTTGTGATATGCTTGTGGTTTTCGGCTTTAAAAATGCTCAGTGTACTCCCAATCGGGGGGTGGTTTCTGACTGCTACCCCCAATGCGCTGGTATGTATTCAATAAACAGGCCACAGGCTTGAGTCTGCGAACTAAAATCAGTCACCCACGCACTTTCTCCACAACATGGGGAAGGACTAGAGATGATGCTGGAATCCCAGCATCCTGGAAGAAAGGAGAATAGCTGTTCTTCTCCACCTCTAAACCCACTGATAGTGACTGTCTCCTTCACTCCTTTCACAGATTCACGGTATCGGGTCCTGCGGAAGAGAACAGCTGTGCTGCAGTAAAGAAGAATCAGATCAAGTCTGAAATCTGCATCACTCACTATAAATGGATTTGCCAGAAGGAAGCTGTGCGCATTTAACCGGGTGGATTGGCGACTTCTGGCTGCATCTATAGAATGCAGAACATCCTGTGTTCTCAGCTCTATTGCAGCTAACAAAGCCTCAGGCAGCGTAAATCTGGGTAACACCGATAAAGTGAATGGCACAATGCTGATTTACATCCATTGGGGGTCTGGGCCCATTGACTCCGATGGAGTTACGGCCAGTTCACACCAGCTGGGAATCTGGCCCTTGGATTATTTAAAAAAAAATAAAATAAAAGTGTAATTTTTTCCACAGTGCTTCTAATATTGTCTTCAGAGTATTAAAAGATTCCTGGGACATTACTGTAATGCCTAGAGGCCCCAGCTGAGATCAGGGCCCCGTTGTGCTGGGCATTGCAGACACACAGCGAGAGACAGTCCCTGCTCAGGAAATTTTTTTCTGTAAAAATGTTTTCCATTTTCAGAAAACACCATTGATTCTCTTCAGTTTTCAAAATCTGAACTTTTTTTGTAACAGAAAATGGAAAAGTTTTCCCCCAAAATGTCTGATTTCCACTTCAAGGGAAAAAACAATAATTTTTGTGGGAAACTTTTTTGTTTTTTGTCGTTTCAAGGAAAAGCCAGAAAATTTTGACCAAAGCAAAAATTTGCTGGGAACATGTTTGATTGGGTTGAAAAGCTGTTCTTTACTGGAAAAAAAAATTAGGCCAAACATTTTTTAAAAAGGTCTACTATTTATAGCGGCGTCATTTCAAACCTCGGTGAATGTCGTTCCATTGCTCCATCCCCTGCCCTCCTCCCCACCCCCAGCAGTGTGCTAATGTGACAAGAAAATTCACTAATCACATTGTATAGCACAGGGGTAGGCAACCTATGGCACGTGTGCCAAAGGCGGCACACGAGCTGATTTTCAGTGGCACTCACACTGCCCGGGTCCTGGCCACCAGTCCGGGGGGCTCTGCATTTTAATTTAATTTTAAATGAAGCTTCTTAAACATTTTAAAAACCTTATTTACTTTACACACAACAATAGTTTAGTTCTATATTATAGACTTACAGAAAGAAACCTTCTAAAAATATTAAAATGTATGACTGGCACACAAAACCTTAAATTAGAGTGAATAAATGAAAAGTCAGCACACTGCTTCTGAAGGGTTGCCGATCCCTGGGATAGCACAAAACTCAGAGCCGGACAATTCAGCTTTACGTCCGCTGGAGAGAATCACTGCAGGATTCATTCACTGTTTTATCTGCTTGTCACCCCTAGGCAGTGATGAGCTGCCAAAATATTAACAGGTTCCCTTCTCCTCACCCCACAAGAGGGTCGTGACCCGCCCCCCCCTGCCCCATCCAACCCGCCACGTTCCTTGACACACACACACACACACACACACACACACACCAGGACTCCTGCCCCATCCACCCCTCTTCCCTGTCCCTTGACTGCCCCCTGTCGCTCCATCCCAACCCCTCTCT